AAATATTATTCTTAGATGTTGAATGATTCCAAAATCTATAAGATTATTTGGAGAAAATTTTTTTAGTAGTTTCTTGAAAGAAATCTATTGCTAAAAAGAAAACAAGGGAGAAAATCTCACACCACAATCTTGTAGTTGCAATTTGTGAAAGAAATTGAGTGGATGAGAAATGGTTTATCTCTTGTTTTTCCTTTTTCCTCTTTCCTTTTCTTATAATATTTTATTTGATCATTGATGAGAAAGTAATGGAAAGAAATCTCAATCTTCCCCTTTGCTACCTCACATCTATTATTAAATTCATAAAATAAAAAGGAATCTTGAATTGAATTGAAATTATGAAAAACTTGTCCTTAATTAATTTACCCATTTCATAGGAATCAAATCATCATCATATATACATATATATATGTATATGTATACACACACATATATGATTTTGAAATATAATAAAAATATATATATATATATATATATAAATGAATAATTGAGATTGATTCTAAAGTATAATAAATGAGTTGTGCAAAGGCCCCCTTTAAATCTTCCAAGTTCCAACACCTCCTCCCACACTTTAATGCCATTCCAACACTCTCACATGTTGTGCTTGCCTCCTACTTTCTCAACAACTATATTTTACATATACACATATATACTTTTTTTTTTTAATTTTACTCTTACTTGTAATTGTATAACTTTTTATTATATAAATTAACTAAAACAAACTTTGTTTAAACTCAAATAATCAATTTTTAAACCTTTAAATTCATAAATCACAATATGAATTTGGAACTTTAATGGAATAATTACTATGAGTTGTATTTGTTTATTGTTTCCCAAGAAGAATAAATTTATGTAACAAGTTTATTAGCATTAAGGAAAGTCTAAAATTTGCTACCACCAAGAACTTAATAAAAATTTTAGAAAGGACCATATACTAACATATTTGTAATAATAACAAAATTTATAAATGTACATATATATTTTAAAACATTAAAATTGAACTAATCTCGACCAACATCTCTTTTCTTATTAATATAGATCTAAACTGATGAAAACGTAAACTTTAATTATTATTATTATTTTTTTATCATATTAGATTTAAATAAATGGAATTGAGTGAATTTGGGTGCAAAATACCATTTCTAATAAAGATATTTAGCATTTAAAGACAGTTAACAAATAAGAAAATAAATTTTTTTTTTAGGTAAATAAAATAAAATATTTCACAAATCATATGTAATTTTTAAAATTCCATAGTTCAAAACACATATAAAGTTAAAAACATAAAAAATTTTTAAAAAAAATTAAATAAATAAAGAATAACAAATAAGGATAAAAAAGGTGGTGAAAATTGCAAATAAAGAGGCTTTAAAAACTTTTGAATAAAATGTGTTGTACCAAGTGGAAGGTTGCTTTTCAACATTTATGTTCCAAGTGGAAATCCCTCTTCTTCTTACTTTCACTTATTTTATTGTCCTTCTACCTTTCTCCCTTTCCTAAAGTAATTCCTTTCTTTTTTTAGTGGCTTTCCTAAATCAACTTTTGTTTACCAAATATATATATATATATGTATATATTGAGATTATTTATATTTATTACAGCTTATTTTTTGAATTAAACAAAATTATAATTTTTAACCATAATTCATGATATATTTTAATTGTCATAGAACTTAAAGTAATACCAAAATTTATATTTGATTGTATTTGATTTATTTTCTAAGATTTTTTCAAAATAAAATTAAACTATATAAAACAATGAAATTTTAAGTATTGTTTTTTGTATATTTTATTATAAATAATATCATAATTATTAAGCCTTTCTAATTTATTTATTTTTTTTTAATTTCTATATTTAATTAAGTTTTATTTTTACCAACACAACTAAACATTATTAATTCTTCAAATTATTAATTGTCATAAAAGTGAAAAGTAAAGATAAAAGTTTCTCATATATATATATATATATATATATTTGAAGGAATAAAGTTGCAAATATTTGCTCAAAACAGGATAAAACAAGTATATATGCTCTTCTGTTTTAGAAAAAAAAAAAAAAATCATTGATAGAGAAACAAATACATAATTTTAAAAAGTTTGAAATTTGTAAATTATTTTTTAGTACAACGTAAGATTAAGAAATAATTTAAATACGAAAATAGTTGAAACAGACTCTTTGATATTTTCTATTGATTAGCCTAAGGACTATAAATAATTTTCACTAAGTTAAATAATTTCGATACTTTGTATTATTTCGTTTCATTTCATTTCATTTCATTTCGTTCGTCTTTCTTTTTCGTCTTTTTTAATTTTTATATTTTTAAAAATTGTACGCACTAATATATTTTTATTAGTTTCTTATTAATATCGTAAATAATCGGTATTGTTCTTTTACTTTTTTGGGTTCTTGTAGTTTTAGAAATTG